GTTTAATTGTGTGACTTGGTGTGTTGTGTTGTATTTAGATAAGTACCAACAAGAGGCCTAGGGTATATCTCTTGTATACTTCTGGAAAACTCACAACAAAGTTAGGAAAGAAAGCCTACCAGGCACTTCACTTTTTTCTTTCAAAATATATTGCAAGAACAGTATAAAAGAAGAATTTTATATAAATAATCACAGTCTTTGTGCATTGTTGTATGTTGCTGTTAAAATTTACTATCATTTAGTAATGCTGCTGTTAGTCCTAAACAGCTGTTTACCCAAATCACCACACAGAGACTGGGATTTATTTAGTTAACCCAGAGCACAATGCTGGGCAATAGCTGTTCCAAACCTCCAAGCCCATGGAGTTGCCTCACATTTAGATTTCCCACATTATCCTGGCTTTTAGTGATATGTTAGGACCAGTCCATGTCGCCACGTTGGTCCAAGATCTCTTGCCTTTGCTTTCCCAGCTCTCTCCTGCCCTTTTCTCCTCCTCTGCCTCCCACCTTTCTGTCCTCTGGCTCCTCCCTCTCTTCCTGCTTCCTTTTCATTGTTCAACCTTGTGGCTAGTTGCTTTATTTTGGATGTTTACACAAAGTTGAGACAGGTGATGCTTAGAATAAGTATCACAATACAATGTCCGGATTGAAACCGGAGAGTGAGGGGGAGAAATCAGCATTTGAATGAACAAGGGCAAGGTGTATACATTTCAGAAGAACATTATACCAACAGTGCGTAAAGGTATGAAGGTCATTTCTGCCTGTGTATGGTTGTCATTTCTTTTGGTAAACTCTAGATATGCAGTGCTGTATGTTGCGACAACAGCTTACATTGTGTTTGCGGCAGTGAGTGTGAGAGGTGATGTCAGCATACAAGCTGGACCTTCAGCAGCAGGTCAGAACTTCAGACACATGTCAGGTGGTGTTTATGTTTATTGGCATACTCAGTCCAGCAACTTTACCTTCATGAGCTTATTCTTTTTTTTTTTTTTTTTTCTGTCAGAAAGTCTTTTTTTTCTCCCTTAGTCTAGAAGTGGCAGAGAGCAGAGCTCACAACTGGCTAGATCACATGTGACTTAGCGCACAAGCCTCAGCCCCAGACTCTTTTTAGGCCTGCTTTCCACTGTGTAGCTCAAAGGCCAGAGAGCCAATCTGTGGTAGATCCAAAATGCTTTGATAAATACCTTTCTTCCTTCAGGGCTAGCCCTCCTCTCCCTGCGCTGCCACGGCCACCAGAAATGTTAAGAATTTATTTTAATAGTTCTCAACAATGTACCTTAAAGAAAAGATAAGGGCTTGGTTTTACTTTGCTGTGAGAGCACTCATTTATTCCTTTTTGGTTTTTTCGAGACAGGGTTTCTCTGCATAGTCCTGGCTTTCCTGTACTAACTCTATAGAGCTCTGGCCTGGAATTCACAGAGATCTACCTGCCTCTGCCGGGATTAAGGGTGTGTGCCACCACGCCCCGATATTCATTTATTCTTTATGCAGAGGAACTTACACTGGAGTGAGAGTTGCTTGTGTTTTAACTTTCACACTGTGGTAAAGGACACAACTAAATCTTGAGTGCACAGTGCAGCGGTGTTCAGCACATTCATGCTACTGTGTACCCAAATCTGCAGAACTCCCGACGGGGCTCTGCATCCGCAAGCACCGTCAGCCCCTGGCAGCTGCAGGTCTAGACTGTTCCAGTTGCTTTGTACAGATGGGCTCCAGGCCGGGAGGGGGCGCGCCATCCCCAGACCCCAGGGTGGAAGGAGAGCCCCACCCCTGGGCAGCCGTATCCACCCCTGGGCGGCCGTATCCCCTCCCCCATCGTTTATATACAGGCGTAAATAAAATAAAACCCAAGTGGACTCATACATTTGTCTTTGTGACCAGCATATTTTACTGAGCAAACTGTCTTCACATTTTACCCACATGTGTGTCCAAATTTCAAAAAACAAACAAAAAGTAGTTTCAAGTAGAACAGTTTCAAATGTACAGCAAAATTCAGTCCATGGTGGCAGGGTTTCCTGTCGGTCCTCTGCCCTCCCTTGTCAGCATCCTGGGCATGGCAGCGCATGGATGCCTGCCTGCTCACGAGTGTGTGCTGATTGGCATCGTTGTGGGAGTTTGCACAGGTCACAGTGGCACGCAGAGTGGTTTCGGGTCAGTGAGGATCCCCTGTGCCCTGCCGGCCCACCCTTTCCTTCCCAGCCCCTGAAAGTCAGCACGCCCCCTACTGTCTGCGGAAGTCGTACCGCCCTTCACCTCGTAATGTAAGTTATTTTGTGTCTTGGGAACTCAGCCCAACTCCCTCTTGACAGGGTCCTGCTGTAAAGCCCTGGCTCACCTGGAATTTGATGTGTAGACCAGGCTGGCAGCAGACTAAACTCAGAGGTGTGATGCCTTTGTCATCCCCGAAGTGCCAGGGTACAGGGTGCCGCCACACCTGCCTCTCTTTCCCTAGTGCTGAATCATACTGCTTTGTCTTTTTTGAGACAGGGTTTTTCTGCGTGGCCTTCTCTGTCAGCCATGCTGGCCCTGAACTAGAGGTCTGCCTGCCTCTGCCAAGTGCTGAGGGTAAAGGCGTGTCACAGCCCTTTTTTTTTTTTTTTTTTTTTTTTTTTGGTGCTGAATAATATTTCACATTGTACAGATGAACACAGCTCTTGTGTGCAGTCACTTTGTGGCTGCACCCAGGTCCCAGTAGTTGTAGATGAAGCTGCTGTCAATATTTGTGTGCAGGTCGTCGCATAGATGAAGATTGTTGGCTCCTTTGGCTAAATACGGAGGACTGTGATTATGGGATCATGGGTAAATGTGTTTGTTCAGTTTGTGAGAAACTGCGAGGCTGTCTTTGAAAGGGACTGCATCCGGCAGTGGGTGGGGTTCTGTAGCAAACCCCTAACAGCATCCACTGTTGCCATTTTGGGATGTTTTAAAGTGATTTCACTGCCTGTCCTGGGCCTGTCTTAGGTTCTTGACAGTGCATTGATAGTGCGTGGCCTTTCGGGGGGAGGAGCGAACACACGCCTATTCACTCCAGGTGGGACACTGCTCCAGACCGGAGACATGACTCGGCCAGGCCTGGCGCGGTGAGCCTGGCGCGGTGAGCCAGTTGAGTGTTTTGGGGCCACTCACGGGACTTTGCGACAGGCCAGGCTGCTGAAGGGTCACTGCGCCACCGAGCAGCCACCGAGCATGGGCGATGGCTTCATGAAAGCGCAGCCTGCGGGGGTCCTCAGCGCTTCCCGCGGCCCCTGAGCTCCTGGCGAGCTGGGAGCCTCTGGATCTTCTGGGCTCCTTGATCTTCTGGGCTCCTTGAGCTTCAGCAGTTGTGGCTTGGGAGCACCTTGACCCATACAAGAGGGAACGTTGAATCAGAGGAGATAGCTACCTGATATCTAATATGTTCAAAGAGCAAAGGCTTATTGTTTGTTTCTTTAACGTGTGACGGTCCTGTCTGCATGTGTGTTGTGTGCTACCCCCAGATGGCAAAAGAGAGTTACGTCTCTGGAGCTCTAGTCACGGAAGTCGGTAGCCCCCAACCACTTGGGGGTGACTAGAGCTGAAGCCTGGTCCTCTGGAAGAACAGCTCGTGCCATTCTTCAGCCCTGAACAATAGTTTTTATTTGAATAAGGCCTATGAATTTGAGGCTGGCCTGGTCTACGTACTAAGTTTCAGGCCAGACAGGGATAATCAGACCCTGTCTCAAAAAAATACAATGTTGAAGCAGTGGTGCAAGCCTGTAATCCCAGCACTCCGGGTGGTGGAGGCAGGCGGGCGCATCTCCAGCCTGGTCTATAGAGCAAGTCCAGGACAGCCAAGGCTACACAGAGAAACCCTGTCTCAGAAGATCAACCGTGTGTGTGTGTACACTGTTGAATCTACAGAGGCTAATTGTTTTTTGAGGCAGTCTCTCTATGTAGTCCCAGGACTTGCTGTGTAGACCAGGCTAGCCCCACACTCACAGAGCTCTGCCTGCCTCTGCCTCCTGAGTGCTGGGTTGATTGAGCGCAGCACCGCTCCCGGCTGGGCCTTGTCTTTCTGTCCATGGGCACGCATTAGCCCTTTATGTATTCAGGGCTTTGCGTGAGAGTTGTGTGGTTTTCTTCAGATATTTTCTGAGGGTGGAAATTCAAGGGATTATTGTACAACATGGTAGCTACAGATTAGGACGATGTGTCATACTATTGAAAATGCTAAGACTGAAGTTAAATGCTTTCATTCCCAAAATGGTGCCTGTGTGAGGTCATGTGTGCGGAAGTAGCTAGATTTTGCCATTCCGTGATGTGTGTATACTTTCAAATGTCATCTGTACATGATAAATACACAGTTTTATCTGACTATTTGAAATAAAAATAAGAATTGAAGAGTTCACAGTATCTCCTGATGGTTGCAGGCCGATGCTCCCTGACCCCAGCAGACACCCAAGACTGCTGAGCGCTAAGCTGAAAGCAAAGCCTGCTCACTCACCGTGGCCACCGTTTGTAGCTGCTTCCCTCCACCTTCGTGTAGCCTGTGCACATTTTGACTTAGACCCTGATAGTTCCCATTCAGGAGGCATTAATAGAAGTGAAATTATGTTTAATTCCAAGTTCTACCTGGCCATTGTAGAAATGTAAGCAAACGCTTGCTTATTTCTGTCTCCACCGTGTATTCACAACCTACTTGCTGTTGGGTCCAGGACTCTGCTTGATTACGTACATACGGACACTCATGCCATCCAAAAACATTTTTTTTTCCTTCCTAGAGACACACACTTCCTCTGCTTTCCCCTTCGCCCCCACTCCTCTCTCTTCCTCTCCCTTCTCCCTTCTCTTATTTTGTTGTCTCTGGTCTTATTGTGTAAGCTACGAGTTCCAATCTAATGTTGAAGAGAGGAGACATCCTTGTCCCGCTCCTGCTTTTAGTGGGAAAGCTTCTAGATTTCCACTGTAAGGGTGATGGCTATAGGCATTTTGAGAGCTGGTCTTTATCAAGTGGAGGAAATCCCCGCTATTGCTAATTTGCATTGTTTTCCTTTTTAAGGTGGAATGCTATGTGGTTCGTATGTATCACATTTTGCTTCCCATTCACCCGTTGATGGACACTTGGTAGCTTCCACCTTTTGGCTGTTGTGAAAACGCTGCTGTAAACATGGCTGTGCACATAGCTCTTTGAGACCCTGCTTTCAGTTTTTCTGGGTAAGTATCAGAAGTTGTCACCAGATCATATGGTAGTTCCACTTTAAAAACATTGTGGGAGCCAAGACTTAGAATTTCATAGTGAAGGATGTTCACTGCACTAATGTCTGTAACAACAAACATTTGGAAGCAGCTTTGCGTCATCAGCAGGCGGTTGGTTACATAAATTACATAAATTGCAGCACAGCTGTACAATGAAGTATTGTAGAGATACTTAAAAATGATGTGGTAGGTCAGGGTTTTAATATCTCTCAATAGATTGTAAAGTGAGAAGGACAAACAGGTGTCAATGTAATTGTGTTTACTTTTAAGTCTGTGTTCGTGTGCTCCGTCTTCCCCTCACAAACAATGAACTGGTGGAAGGAGGGAGCAGAGACTGTGTGACAGGAGAGCGGCCCCTGCCCCACGGTGCTGCTTTACCTCAGGGCTTACGAGAGCGCAGCTCTGAACACAGCAGAGTTCAAGTGCTGTTCTCCTTTATCTTTGAAATGCAAAAATAATCGTAACTTTCACTTACTAAGTATTTTTTTAATCACCATATCAAATGCTAGTTGCTGGGCTATTTTATATGGTTTTTTGTTACACATGTATCAAGGATATTTAGTATTATTGTAGTGAAATTTTATAAAAGTTTTTTCACATAAAATTAGTCTATTTTTTCGTCATTTTAATTTTTCACACCTTGGTCATATAATAATAAATAATAAAATCAGAGGTTTGTTAAAGTTTCTCTGCTCCTTAAAAAAACAACAGAATCCCCTTATTTTAAGCCTGGTGTTGCACTGTCCATTGACCCTCCTGCTCGTTTGCCTAGCAGTGATCTCCATGGAGGAGCACGGAGTGGCGCAGACTGAGCACATGGCTGCCATGGACGCCCACGCAGTGGCTCAGCAAGTGCAGCAGGTTCACGTGGCCACCTACACTGAGCACAGCATGCTGAGCGCTGACGAGGACTCCCCTTCCTCCCCCGAGGACACGTCCTACGACGACTCGGACATCCTCAACTCCACGGCAGCTGACGAGGTAACTGCCCACCTGGCTGCTGCAGGTAATGTTTGCGCTGGAAGCTCTCTTCTTACCTTAACTTGTGGATTCATGCCTATCGGAAGAGCCTGGGATTCAAGCACTCTCACGTTTCTTTTCATCATTTTTTTTTTTCAGTGCTGGGGATCAAACCCAGGGCCTCGCATATCCTAGGCAAGTACTCTACCACTGAGCTACATCCCAAGCCCTTCATCACAGTTTTTAAGCCTGCATCTCCAACTTTAGCCTGCTCTGTGAGAGTTGAGTTCCGGGTCACTTGTGCTAGTGTTACGGCATTGGTTCTCTTCCATTCTGACAGTCTTTTGGTTTTTTCCGGGGCGCTTGTTCTAGTCACGCTAGATGTCAGGGATGACATAGTTAGATTTTAATATTTTCAAGGTTAAATATATTCTAGGGTTGGCTTTTCTTTCCCTTTGTCCTGGGATAAACCCCAGGCTTTCGCATGCTAGACCAGAGTCCCGCCCTGAGTGGTGCATCTCAGCCCTGGCTGCTCCAGTGAGAGTGGGTTGTGGCACTTTATCCTTCTTAGGATTTCAGGGCTCTACAAGTAACCGTGTCATTCTCTGGCTCGTTTGGTAATTCTTCTCTCTGAGAGGCTGTGGGGGAGTCTGCTGTCAGTGATGGTTCTAGTGCATGTTGGCTACTCTTCATACACCAGTTCCATGTAAATGAACGTTGTGTGGTGTGCTTGGAAAATATCGTTAAAAACAATTTGGGGCCTAAGGTGCTATGCTGGACATGGTTTCTGTTTGGTTCTGTTAGGTAGTATCAAATCACTATGATCCTTATTTGGCTCGGTCCATTTTTTTTTTTTTTTTTTTTATGGGTTTGAAGTTTTCCAGGATACCAAGTGACTTAAAAGCTGGCTGTGTTTTGTAATAGTCTCTGTACATTGTGCATTTAGCATCATGGTGAGGAGACACTTACAGACTCTCCTGGGGTGGGCTTAGTGTTCTTTTTTAGGAAAAAGAAGGCAGGAAAGTAGTTATCAGGGAAGGCCACAGCACTACAATTTAAAACTGTGTGCGGTGGAGAAGAAGAGCATAAATAATGTCACTGTCTCTGATTACCCACTGTACCATTTCTGGAACGGTAAACTTAAAAGATAAGGGAGGAGCTGGGGATATAGTTCAGTGATAGAGTGCTTTGCTTAGGCAGCATATGCAAGGCACTGGGTTTCAGTGTTTGTAACATTTTGTGAAATGTTTCTGCTTCCCAGAAGAGGGCATCCTAACTGCATCCAGGCCAACTTCTCCCTGGAGGAAGATGCTTTGAGAGAAGCTTTGCCTTGCCACTGTGCTGCATTGTCACGGTGTGAGGATGATGCCAGTGTAGCTGAGACTCGGTCACACATGCCTAGCATGTGTGAGGCCCTGGGTTCAGTTCCTAAGAGGACTGAGCAAAAGACTTGGGCTGCCTAGGTATAATGGCAGTGTCTGCCGTCAGGCGGCCGAGGCAGGAGAAACGCCTGAGCCCAGCTGCTCAGGAGCAGCCTACACAACACAAGGAGACCTTTGTCCCCAAAACAAACAACAAAACAGAAGAACAGGGAAGGACTGAAGTCTTTCGTTTGTCCAGTGTGAAAGCAGGCCCATCAAATCCAATGAGCTGCCACCAAGGAGTTAGAATTAGATAGACCACAATATGTAGATTCTTGACCAAGCTGTCACTAGTGGCAGGTTTATTGGCGCAGGGAAGTGCCAGGGAGAGGGCATTTCAGACCAAGGACGTCTCCTAGCCGAGAAGGCCATTGTGGCTGAGCTCTGTGAGCCAAAGAGAAGACAGTGCAGAGGGCTGACACGAGTCTAACCACTTGGGTCTTAGAGCTCTGCAGGGTGAAGATTTGTACACAGAGCTGGGTGTAGAGGCACACACGCTTGTAATTACAGTAAACAAGAGATTTGCAGAGGTTCCAGGGCCCTGATTAACTGCCGCGCTTATGATTGAGCCTAACTGCTCGCATTTGCTGTTGGCTGGGGACTCTTGCTAGGACTAGTCAAATGACCGTTCTTAATGTGTCGCCTATTAGACATGTTTCTAATTTTCTTCAGTCCAGACAGCTATGGATCAGTGTTGACTCAAAGGGAACAAAAGTTGAGAAGGGCCTTGGGAGCTGGCCTGGACAGAAAGTGCTGTCTGTGTGAGCGTGAGGACCTGAGTGTGAGCCCCCGGGGGGGGGGGGGGGGGGGCTAGGCATGGCGGCCATCACTTACGACCCCAGCACCAGGGACAGAGATGGCAGACGCTGGAGCCTTCCGGCTGGCCAGCCTAGACCAGGTGGTACTCTTCAGGCAAACAGGTGGGTAGCTTCTAAGGAACACACGTGTATCCTGTGCATACACACGCACACGCACACGGTGATCAGCTGTTTCTATAGGAGTCTCCAGGGTCAGTTTCACAGGACTTCGTGTTTTGTCTTTTTAGATTTATGAGTGTTTTGCTCTGTGTGTGTGTGTGTGTGTGTATGCGTGCGTGCATGCCACATATGTCCTTGGTGCCCACAGAAGTTAAAGTATTGGATCTCTGCTCCTGTGGTTACGGCTGTTTGTGACTGCCATGTGGGTGCTGGAGACAGTGGTGGATCCCCTGGACCACAAGAGCTCTTAACTGTTGAACCATCTCTCCAGCCCCCATTTTTCTTTATTTTAAAGAAAATTGAGCTTTTTCTCTGAGGGAGTAGATAGAAGTAGACAAGAATTCACATGTTCTAGTCACAGTTGCGGTCTTGAGAACGAGGTTTCATGAGTTGTCTGACAAGCATAAAATCTTGACTCTTGAAAAACTGTGACGTTGGAATATAGCAAAGAGTCAAGGCCACCATCACACACATATATACACGCGCGCGCACACACACACACACACACACACACACACACTCGCACACACACACACGCACGCACACGCTCGCTCCCCGTGTTGTCAGCTGCTCTTTGACATGCTCTTTCCTACCATGTGCTCCCCAGAGAGGGGATTCAGTTTGCTGAGCTGGAAGTAATCACCTTAGCCCACTGAGCCATCTTCTGGGAACCCACATTGTTTGGTTGTTGTTGTTTGGTTTGATTTTTTTTTTTTTTTTTCCCAGACAGGGTTTCTCTGTGTAGCCCTGGGCATCCTGGAACTCAGAGATCTACCTGCCTCTGCCTCCCCAAAATTCTGGGATTAAAGCATGCACCACCATGCCTGGCCGATTTATTTATTTGTTTATTCACACATTCATTTGGAAATAAACATAGATGCAGTTGAAACATTAGTATTGGGGCTGGAGAGTTGGCTCAGTGGTTAAGATCACTGGCTGCTCTTCCAGAGGACCTGGGTTCAATTCCCAGCATCCAGTCCCATAGGATCTGACACTCTCACCAGATATAGACACGGGGAAAACGCCAATGCACATAAAAAAAGAAAAAAGAAACTTTAGTGTTCCCCATACTCCAGACTCAGAGGTCTCCCTGCCTCTGCTTCTCTCACATGCTGGGGTTGAGGGCGTGCACAGCCATGCCTGGCGAATTCATTCATTCCTTTGTCTGTTTATTCGTCTCTTTGGAAGTAAGCATTGCAGATGCAGGTGAAACTTGTGAGTTGTCCCCCGCCCTCCCCGTGTGACAGTGTCTGGCTGTATGGCTGGTCCTCTCCCCTCAGCTTCTGCGCGCTGGTGGTAGAGGTATGCAGACTCATGTCCAGCTAGCATACCTCCTAACCTTGTTTTTATCCTTCTGCTGAGGCCACAAGTATTCTGTGTTCCTTTATTCCCTTCAGTTTCTTTGCATTTTCGCTGTATGTGCATGTATCCGTATCCGTAAATATAGTTGCCATTGTTCTGCATGCTTTAAATTTTAGGTTAATGATACCACTCTGAACTTTTGTTTCTGTTTAGCATTTTATTTATTTAGCATTAATTTTCTATAAAAAGTTTAAAAACAAATTGTTTAAAGCTGAGCATGGTAATGCACGCTTTTAATCCCCATCACTTGAGAGACAGGGGCAGGCAGGTCTCAGTGAGCTTAAGGCCAGCTTGATCTGCATAGTAAGTTCCAGACCAACCAGGCCTCATGGTGAGACCCTGTCTCAAACCAAGCAAACAAAATGTGTATTGTTGTTGTATGATGGCTTCTACCTGCGCTCCAGGGATCTGAACCCCAGTCATGCTTGCAGGGTGAGTGCCTTTCCTTACTAAGCCATCTCCCTGACCCTTCCTTTATTAAAGTGTGTGTGTGTGTGCGTGCGTGTTTCATGGGAAAAAAAGAAAATTCTGTGGAATGATTTTTTGAAATGGTGCTCTTGAAATATTTTTATTTTCAGTGATGTGTCTGGGGGTGGCATGCGAGTGTACTGCCTGCAGAGCCGGGAGAGGCAGCTTCTTGGAGCTGGAGCAAGCAGTTGTGAGCACTTCAGCGTGGGTGCTGGGAACATAAGGGCTGAGGCTGAGGCCTGTGAAGAGGAGCATGTGCGCCCAAGCACAGAGCCATCTGTGCAGCTCAGTCTGGCCTTGAGCTCTCAGTCCTTTTGCCTCAGTCTCTCCAGTGCTTAGATTTCCACAAGTGGACTTGACACACTGCGTGAAGGTATCCAGGAGGGGAGCTGAGGGACCAAAGATAGGCACGTTTTCAGCGTATTGGACATCGCCAAACCAGGTGCTAACTCGCACCCCTTGCGGGGTGTGCTGGAGCCCTGACCCCTCATCCTGCACTTGCTGTGTCCGGCCTCTTCTTCCTGCCCAGCCGGGTGTTTGTTGGGCAGGATTGGCTTGAATGGCCTGTCCAGAGTTGAGTGTGACAGTCAGCGCCATGTCTTTGATAGTCTAGTCTTCTCCCCCTTGTCAATGACAGCTATGTCCCACAGTCTGCGTGACCCCAGCTTCAGGCTGTGTGAAAGGCTGGGCGCTTCCTTGCTATCTTCTAAGTCGCTTTGCCTATTCCTGGCCCTTGTGTTTACATTTCAATAATAGGATTAGTGTATGCAGCCCTAAAGTCAGCTTTGGGGGTCGGGGGGTGGTTCATATTTGCATTTAAAAAGCCATCAGATCAGGGACCTACAAACTTAGCCTGCATGGCCAAATTTGAGAATCCAAGTTCAGGGAGAACCTGAACATGGATATTCACACACCACATGCGTGTACTCACACACACCACAAAAATAAGCAAACCCTTACAAACATTGGTGAATCTAGCTGACGAGGAGCCTGCGGAAGTATTTGAGGGTATTATGTCGGCGTTTGCAATTTACTTTGAAGTGCGCCAAGAAACAAATAGAGTCTGTGTGTGGTAAGAGGTTAAAGTTCTTTCAGCTTTCCTTGTGCATTTAAACTTTTTTATGATAAAATCTTTAATTCTGACAGTTCAGTAGCAAGAGAGTGGTAAAACCAACCTGGTACTTTAAAATGGTCAAAGAATTTGAATAGACATCTCTCATGAAAAGATACCCAGTGTCACAGGAAACGCGGTGAGATGAGCCGCGAGCCTAAGAGAGTGGCCATCACCAAAGCTAGCCAAAGATGGCAAGCGTTGGTAAGACTGCGAGCAGTCGGTCCTCTGTGCGCAGTGTGCGGATCTAAACAGCGCTGCTGTAAGGGTGAGGCATTTTCTCCAGGAAGGCCTCCTTCCAAGTAACCAAATGACTGCATCCCAAAGAGACACTGCGGCCTCCTGCACGGTGGCCGGTCTGTGAGAACAACTGAGATGTCTTTCTGTGAATGAAAGGCCAGAGGAACTCACACCCATACACACACGACACAGCCTTGAGAGGGGGGCTCTTGCCGGATGTGACAGCATAGGCCAAACTAACAGGACTAATAGTTACAGAAGGACGGGTGCTGTGGACTTCCACCTTGTGGACTTGAAACATAAACATAGGCGAATGTTGTCAGGGTGAAGGGGAGGAGGGCTGGAACTGCTGTCAGCAGGTAATTTCAGGGCTGGGGTACAGCGCAGTGGTTAGAGCCAGAGTGCCTGCCCAGCCCAGCATTCGTCAGAGCAGGAGGACTAGCGGAGTAAGGGAGTTGGGAGAGAGCAGGCCTGACAACAGACAAGCTGAGAATGATAGCACACACCTGTTAGTCTCAGAGGACAGCAGGGGCTCAGGAGTTCAGGGCCACCCTCGGTTACTTCATGACTCTAAGCTCAGCCTGTCCAACAGGGGACTCAGAAAGCTGAAAGGAGGGGAAGGAGGGCTGATTTCAGTTAGGTAAGACAGATAAGTTCTAGAAGTCTGCACATTGTGAATGTACTAGATAATACTGTTTTGCACACAAAATTTTATTCAGAATGGATCTTACGCTAAAATATTGCCAGTTTTATAATAAAATGTTGGGGGCAGTAGAATTAAGATTTTGCCCTTACAGCTAGTTGAGTACAATGGTGCCTGTAATTCCAACAGTTGGAAAACAGAGGCAGGAGGATCACTTTAAGTTCCAGGCTAGTCTGGGTTATATAGTAAGACCCTGGGAAAAGAAAAAGAAACAATCCCTACCATATGTTTATGATGGAGTGAGCCGTTCCTCTGGCTTTTGCTTGCTCTAGGGTTTGTCAGAGGTTCTTCTGTGATAGGGTTGAGCAGCCTGCAGACAGAAGCCTGTCTAGAACTGTGGAGAGGCTCACTACAGCCCACCCATTTAGAGTCCACACGGGAATGTATTGTTAACAATTTCAGTTTCGTCTAAGCCTTCTATAGGGTTGGCAAGAAAGGATAAAGGTCAAATGCTGTCTTAACCCTGAGGTACCAAAACTGCAATAGTAATTCCTTAGAATTGCCCTTCCCAAAAATCCCCAAGACCTTTGCGAGGTAGTTTCAGGACAGCTATGCCAGCTTTATTAATATTTTCCATTGGAGTATTTGTCTCCTTGGCCAGGCTCCACATATCATTGGCACCTGTGGTTGCTGTCTTCCTTCAGGCCACACGGTCCAGTTTGGCTGCTAGTCTTCCGGATGGCCCTTTATGGGTGATGGGAATGTGCCAGGTTCTCGGAGTTCTTCTAGTTCCTTAACTTGTTGGAGTCTTGGATTAGTGAGAGGCCCGGGAACAAGAGGTGCAGTGTCAAGCCCTTAGCTTGTTTCAGTGTGGGCAGGGCTCTCTCTCAGTGCTGGGGTGTTTCCTGGTACCTTTGAAAACCCTGTCCCAACAGTGTGGGCATGCTAGCGAAACTAAGCACAGCCTCATGCAGAGGCAGGGTATGCGGTGGGAAGGTGGGAACCATTTGCTTCTTAAAGGACTGATATAAACGTGGTTCTTGGGAAACTGTATTAAAGAACATAGATAATGTCATAAGCATTCTGGTCTCACCGATAGTGTGTTCTTTTCTGTCTTGTACCCTTGCAGGCTCCTGCCTAATCTCACCACATACTTACCATTTCAGGTCCTGTGGGAATGGCTGCTGCTGCTGCTGTGGCAACAGGGAAGAAACGGAAGCGGCCTCATGTGTTTGAGTCTAACCCGTCTATCCGTAAGAGACAGCAGACACGCTTGCTTCGGTGAGGGCTGGCTTACCCTTCTTGCTGCTCACACACTTCCTGTGTGGGTGTCAGCTAGAGCACTCCTTACTGTACTCCTCGAACCATGACAGGGTTAGGCTTGGAATCACTTCCATGAAATTAAACTGATGAAAATCTAGAAAATAGGATGTCATAGATGTATAGTATTGACCAGCTGTGGTGGCACACACCTTTAATCCCAGCATTTGGGAGGCAGAGGCAGGTGGATCTCTGAGTTCAAGGCCAGTCTGGTCTTGAGTTCTGTCCAGTGAGTTCCAGGACAACCAAGGCTACACAGGGAGATAGTGTCTCAAGATAAGGAAGGAAGAAAGGCCACATTAATTCATCCAGGGAAGTTTGTGTGCCTGCTGTGTTCCAGGTCGCACTCTAGACATTGGGAGTATAACACTGAACAGTAAAGCCCCTTAAAGAATTTATGTTCTGAAAGAGAGAGAAAGAAAACGAACATACACTATACTTGTTAAGTCTCAAGCCCTGGGACAATGGCTAAGGTGCCTATTAAATATATCAGAGCTGGTCTGCTGCCATCTTCTCCCAGCATCCCTCAGTCCATACCTATTACAGGGTATGGGTGGCACACCCCGTCCCTACCCTAAACTTCTCCAGCCCAGGGACTGAACTGGGCTGAACTGGACTGAACTACCCTTCCGTGTATATATGATTCAGCCATTTTAGCTCTGCCACTCCCTTGGTCAGTCTCTTGGTCCAGGCTGCCCATCCTGGTCAGCAGCTCCTTCCCCAAATCCTTTCCTCACATGGCTCAGGGTCATGTCCACTGTGGTCTCTCCCGGATGTCTCTGCCTCTGGCTATGCTCTCCCTTTTCATCTACAGTAATCATCTCCTCCACCAGACCTAGGGCATTCATGTCCTTTTACTTCCTTTTCTCATTCAGTATTAAATGAGAATAGACAATTGTGGGGAGCAAAGAGATGAGAGAAAATATTTCAGGAGGTCAAAGAACATAATTGTTTCTCTGTTATTCAAAGAATGGTCTGAGAAATCCTGTTGTTGAGGTAGCCTTTGCCCAGAGCTGGGAGGAGCTGAAAGAGGGACCATGTTCATGTCATTTCAGACAGAGGGAGTTATTAAAAGCCAAGGTAGTCAGTTTATTTATTTATTTATTTATTTTTAATTTTTATTTTTGAGACAGGGTTTCACTATGTAGCTCTGGCTGTCCTGCGTTCTATATAGACCAGGCTGGCCTTGAACTCAGAGAGAACTGCCTGCTCTGTCTCTCAGTGCTGGGGTTAAATGTGTGTGCCACCACACCCAGTTAAGGTGGTCATTGAAAAAAGGCAGCCAGGGAGAGCCTGAGAGGAGTGATGAGAGGAAAGCAAACCCTAGTCCTGTCAGGTCAGCAAGCTGGGTGGTGGTTCCTGCTCATGCTCCCAGCTCTTAGGAGACTCAGGCGACGGTTCATGGGTTTCAAGCTAGCCTGGCCTACACACCAAGACACTGTTTCAAGAAAGAGCAGAGAGGATTGGAGGCAGTGAATATCAGCCTTCGTTCAAGAAATGCTGCTGGATTTCCTGTTTGCTATTATGAATTGTAGGGTGACCCCTCTGCCTCAGAGGGAAAGGGCAGGTGTCTCTTGCTCCCACCCTGTATTCTCACTTTACATCAGAGAGTTTGCTTTCTGTGGTTGCAGTGACCTCCATGGTAAACCATAGTACAAAATGTTGAATGGAAAGTTATAAAATAAATAAGTTTCAAATAATTTTACTAAGTATCTTACTATAATTTGAATATTTTTATTTTAAGATTTTCATTTAATTATTTTGCCTGTGTGTATGTTGTGCACTCTGTAAGTGTCTGGGCTCACACAGGCTAGAAGAGGGGCTGTGTGCCTGCCTGGGTTTATGTGTGCTTGACGAGGCCAAAGGTATTGAGTTCCTTGAAGCTGGAGTTACGTTTGTGAGCTACCTAGTGGTGTACCAGGAATCAAACCCAGGTCCTCTGTTATAATTGTGTTTAGGAGTAGTTACTGTTCGTCTCTTACTGTACTTAGCTTATGGAGTAAACTCTCATTGAGATGGATGTGTAGGAAAAACACAGTGTGCAAAGGGTTTAACTCTGTCCCAACTTAGAGATAACCAGTTGGGGTGGACCCGACTCCCATAGATAAGTGCAGCTACTACAGAAACTCCTTTTCTCCTCATTTGCAAAGGACTATGGGTTTGTGCTCTAGTTTCTTTCCATAGCTGTGATAAAGGTCAAGTGAGGGAAGGCAGAGCAGGAACTGGGCAGAGACCCTGGGGAATGCTGCTTGCTTGCTCCCTTGCAGGCTTTATGGATTTGTTTTGTATCCTTGGGGTTTGCTTTATTTATTTATTATTATTACTGTTGTTGTTTTCTGTGTAGGAACACCTCTTAGACCAGGCTGGCCTCAACTGACGAAAGTCTGCCTGCCTTGGGATTAGAGGTTTACACTGCAACACCACTCACAGGCTTTTACCTAACTACCTTTCTGACATAACCTAGGGAATGGTGCTGTTGGCCAGGGCCTGGGCCCTCCTATATCAGTTAGCAGGCAAGATAACTTCCTCCCAGACGTGCCCACAGGCCAGTCTAATCTGGATGGATTCCTCCCTTTAGCTGTGCCTTTCGCCAGTTGAGGCGAACTAGGACAGTGTGTCTATTTCACAGTAGTGGCATAGTGGTGCTCACCCGCAAACCTGGCACGTGAGGGCTTGACAAAAGGAGGAGCTTCATTCAGACCAGCCTGGGCCACAGGAGACCTGCCTCAAAAACTGACCAACGAGGGCTGCAGAGATGGCTCAGTGGTTAAGAGCACTGGCTGCTCTTCCAGAGGACCCGGGTTCAATTCCCAGCACCCACACGGTGGCTCACAACCACCTGCAGTGAGATCTGCTGCCCTACATGCAGCTAGAGCACTCATATACATAAAATAACAAAAAAATTAACCGACTAAATCCGAAGCAGTCGTACTTGCCCCTGCATTTATCTATTTTGTGTGTAGTGGGGGGGTGCAGGGTCACGGCACATTGTCTGGAGGCCAGGGCATAGCTTGCTGGCTGGTTCTTCCATTCTCTCGTCAGGGTCTCAGGGTTAGCCCCTGTGCACCTTTACCATTGAGCTCGCCACACTGACCCACAACAGTTAGTCACAGTATCTTTTTGGATAAAACATGAATGTGAGATGAATAGTGACTATCAATAGAGAGACGTTTGTTGCTTGGGCCACCTTTGTTATAGAGACAGCAAGTCTGTGAGTGACATCTCAGCAGTCATCCTTAAAAGTGTCAATAGAAATATTGGTGTTGACACTTGGCTGGTGTAGTATTGCACCTTTGTCCCAGCACTCGGAGACAGAGGCAGGTGGATCTCTGTGAGTTCCAGGTCTGCTTTGTCTATATAGTGAGTTCTAGGACAGCTGGAGTTTTGTAGAGGACCCTGCCTCCCAAAAACTAATAAAAAGAAGTTAATGACTCGCTATATTAAATGTTGTCGTGTCTGCATCCCAAGGCATAAGTCCCACACATCCATGTGATGGGCTTCAGAGAACACGAACACACTTCCTCTGACAGGATCCCACTCCCTCCTCCTTCCCAACCTCGTATTTCACAAGATGCCTATGAGGCTCCCCCTCATGTCTGTGCCCGGACAGCGTGTCGCCCCCTGTAATGGTGTGCTCCACTCTGCTCAGGAAACTGCGGGCCACCCTGGATGAGTACACCACCCGAGTGGGCCAGCAGGCCATTGTTCTGTGCATCTCACCCTCCAAGCCCAACCCCGTGTTCAAGGTGTTCGGGGCAGCGCCCTTGGAGAACGTGGTAAGTCTGAGCTGAGTGCCGCGGCCTTTGCTTTGTGGAGAGTTTTCACTTTTACTTCTTTCCATTTCAGTGCTCAAGGATGGAAGGGGCCACCAACTGGTTTTCAGATGCTTTATGCAGCTTGAAACTAAGAGGATCGGCCCGGGGCGGTGGTCGAAAGGTTCCTTGGTGGTGGTGTTCTTTCGTAGCCAGAGCAGATGGTTGGTCTTTGTTGAACCTAGCTGACGCTTGACTCGGTGGCCAGAGCTGTTTCACGCAGGTGCCGTTCTGTGTAAGAAGCCAGTGCAGGGCTGAGGATGGCGCCAGCTGCTAGAGCCCTTGGCCAGTGCACAAAGTGTTGGGTTCCACTGGGCACCTGACCAGTTGTCTTGGTACATGCCTGTAATAGCATTCTGGAGGGAGGCAGACCAACCGTTTTAGATGCACTGTGATTTTAGGAGACTGAAAATGAGGTTTGTGGGTGGGAAGTTGGGGGCGGGGGGGTGCATCTCCGAATTGAGAGATGAGAAGAATTGAAACAGCAGCTTTATGATTGTGGGAAATCTGCTTTATTAAGCAAGCTTAACTGGGGGTGCTGTTTTCACCGGAATCTTGTTGCAAATTACTCAAAAACATACTATCAGCATTTTTAAAATTTATTTTATGTGCATGAGCATGAAGGTGTCCGATTCCTTGAAATTGGGAATTGTCGTTACGGACAGTTGTGGGCTGCCATGTGGGTGCTGGGAATTGAACCTTGGGAGGGCAGCCCGTGCTCTTACCTACTGAGCCATGTCTGCAGCCCCATGTATCAGCATTAAGGAATTATATAGCATTGTTAAGTTTAGCAAAATACCAGAAGCTGCCTTTTCAGATTTATAAGTGGTGTACTTGATACAGACTAACGTCGTGGCAGTAACCCGGTGTTTTCCCGACTTCGAATACCAGGCATCACCGCCACAAGCAAGTGTTTTTACACCGTTTTCATTCCTCCTGTGGGCCTGCACACATGAATTCAACTTGATAACCTAAGTGCAAAGAACCTAGACTTAGAAAAGTCAGGCTTTGTTTCATCCCCCAAGCCCTTTTGTGGATTAGAAGCATAAAAACCCAAAAAATAGAAGCCTTTTGTAATCCTTGATACAATCCTTGATTATGACTTCTGTCATAATCACGTGCCGGCGAGGATGTCTGAGACTTCTCTTTGCACTAGTATAAAACTGAATCAGCCAAGTTAGTGTGAGGCTGGTGTTTGGACTCCTGTTTCTTTCATGCCCTTAGCCCTCCTAGCTGGAGGATTCTGTAGCTTTGGACCTTGGCCTGGTTACTGCTTTTCAGGTTGGTGAGGTAGAGTATGGGCTCTTTCTCTTTCAAGGCTCGCAATGAGACACCAGAAAGGAAGTGAGTTCAGTGAGCAGAAAACATTATTGGAACTTCTTGCCAAAATTCATTTTGTTTCTCTGCCCTCATGAGAATGCCTTAAGGCCTGCAAACAAGTTAATTTCCCATCCTGTCTAGTCATATTTTCATAATACCTGGCTTTGTTCTTCCTGGAGACACCCTCATCCCCGTGTGTATTCCAAGTGAAGAAGCCCCTGCTGCTGGCTCTGGATGCCGTGTTCACCCTCCTCCTGCTCATGAGGGTGCGCACACGCCCTTGTGCTGCCAGGCCGGGAGGTTCTGCTGTCCTGACCCCTCTCGATACAGTGGTGAGGAATAGTCAGGGCTGCAGAACTGGGATGACATGTAGAGGCAGTGCGGCTTTGACGTTGCCCATCTCCGGGGATCACCTGAAGGGAGGACAGGCCGAGCAGCGGGCTCCCCGGCCTGCGGCCTTGCGAGTAGTGCTGCTGTGGGCACTCGGGTGAACTGTCTGTCTCTGGCTTTGTCTGGGTCTGCTCAGTCCAGAGCCCTAAGCACTTGGGTCTCCGTCTGTGTGGTACCTGGCTGTCTCGAGAAACAGCAGCGGTTTCACATCCATAGGGAGTCCTCAGACCTGGGAAATGACTTTGACAGTTAGCTTTGACAGTTTGTCACATTAGATGTGGCCGGGAGACGCAGACTGAGAAAATTAGGACTTTTTACCGCACAATTTCTGTAGAATGTTTCCCATGGGATCCTTCCTACTGTTTGTTACCTAAAATTTCATCATCTTTTCACTTGGTTCTGTGCAGTGTGTGTCTTTGGGGCCAGTGGGTGTTTTCACCCTCTGCTTGGAGGACTGTTTGTTCTTGGGGCGTGGCAGTGGTGGAGGGAGGCCAGCCCCGCCTCCTCCTTGTTGCCTGGCACCGGCCTTCCCTGGCTGTTGAGCATCTTGTTTATGGCTGCCCTTAATTCCCTGCAGGTGCGGAAGTACAAGAGCATGATCCTGGAGGACCTGGAGTCGGCGCTGGCAGAGCACGCCCCCGCGCCACAGGAGGTTAACTCGGAGCTGCCGCCCCTCACCATCGACGGGATTCCAGTCTCTGTGGACAAAATGACCCAGGTACAGGGCGGGGCGTGAGGAGACTCAGAGGCAGGCATGCAGATGGGCAGGCCTCCCTTGCTCCTCTCGCCTTGTCTCTGCTGATGTGGCCTGAGCCTGAGACAGACTAGTGTGTGGCGGCCTTGGAGAGCCTCCTGGTGGCGCACATACGTGTGACCCTCCTCTCTGCTGACAAGCTCCCTCCTTTGACCCGGGTCTCTGTGCTCGGGAGGGAGACTCTCAGCTTGGGATTAGTTTGACCTGAGACTGTTGGGAGTTTGAGGCAGGGTTTCTCCATGTAACCTTGGCTGAACTGGAACTTGCTATGTAGACCAGCCTGCCCTCAGGCTCAGAGCAGCTGCCTCAGCCTCCAAGTGCTGGGACTAAAGGCAGGTTCCACCATGCCTGGCTTATTTCCCAACTTTTCTTTTTGGTCTGTTTCTCCAGGTAGAATTTTAGAGCAATGACTTGTTATTCTGTATTGCTGTTCAGTTCAGCTGCCCAGCACCTAAAGCAGCATGCCATCTAAACAATGGCACAGTGGTCAGCTGTGCCCTGAATGGGTCTGAACCTGAGGCTTGATGAGAAGTAACGCTGCACTTTATAAAGATGAGGCTAGCCAAGGTCGCAGCACCTGAAGATGGGTACAGGAGAATCACAAGGGTTCAGGATTAGCCTGGGGTACACAAAGCTATAAACCTAAACGATGATCTTCTGATTATTGGAGACACTAAAGGGAAGTTCAGTAATTGTTCAGAAAGAACGGCAGACTCCATCCTTTAATAGTCGGTGTTGTCATCTAGTGCTGCTTCCATTCTGCGTGGTTGGTTTTAAGGATCCACCCTGCCTCAGCCATAGAGTGCGTGTAAAGCCAGCTGAACCTCTGGTGTAAGATGCTAGGGTGGGCCCCTCTTCTATGTGCGTTTTTCTCCCTCGCTGCCACATTTGAGGTCTTCGTTGAAATGGTTCAAGGTTCTGATGATGAAAACATGCCAGGATGCTGATTTTCACAAAGAGCAGCCAATAGCCCCAGAGATTGGTGCAAACTGTTCCTGTTTGGAAAGCAAAACATGGGAACCTCAGTAATCCCCACTCCATGCCACACGCTTGGTAGGTGGAGCATGGTGCAGGGACAGATACCAGGGAAGCTGACGCTTCATGGCAGCAAGACCCAGAGACTGCTGTGCGCCTGCGTGTTTGCCCTCGTTCAGCCCTCTTTGTCTTCTCACTACAGTTGAGGATCGAGACTAGAGCTTGACAAGTAGTCTCACATGCTGCAGCATCTTGGAAAAGGAGCCCAGTGAGCTGGAAAAGGCACTAGCCACCACACCCCATGACCTGGATCCAGGCTCTAGAGTCCAGGTGGCACAAGGAGGGAGCTGGCCCCCAAAAGTGGTGCTCTGGCTTTCTCAGGTGCTCTGGCAAAGCCATCCACACTGAATAAATAAGCATTTAAAAATTACATGAGGAGGAATAAGCAGGGTGATAAAAGACCAGCCCTGATTAAATGGAAAGTTCACAGCAATAAGAAAGTACTTGGATACTGGTATTTTCTCCCTCTGCCTTTTCTTTTGTTTCCCTTATATACTTTCACCTTAAGCTGAGCCAAATGCCTCTCTTTTTTAAGTAGTTTGAACCCTTTCCCTTTTAATAGTCACAAAAGGGGTGTTTAATTTCAGACTAACCCTGGATAGACAAGAGGCGTGGGGAAAGAGCACTTGCACACACTGTCCGTGAGCATATAAACTGGCAGACTTTCTAGAAGGCAGGCTGGTCGTGTGGGGCAAAGCTTAAAGAATGTGTGCCAGCATGGGGCAGCTAGCTCAGCATCTCGCCCGACCTTGGTTCTCAGCCACTGTGCTCTCAGCGGCCTGCCTGTGCCTTCAGCTCCAGCCCTTACAGCTTCTGCAGTACCTAAGCTCATGTGCATGTCCACACAGATGTGTGCGCATAACTGAAAATAAAAAGTGTGAGGCATCTGTAAAAGGTGTGGGCTGCTCGCCAGTGAAGCAGCAGTGTCTGTTACTGTCTGTGACAGCATTGCTTATAACCGGAAAGGCTTGACAGTACAGAGCCTAACTAGTGGTTAAATTATAACAGGAATGCTGGCTACATGGGAGGAGGCTGGCCATGGCCCAAGATGACGGTTACTTACTACTCTGTGACCTGTTGGGTACTTAAAGGAATGTTCTCTCTTGCAGCAGAGTAGTACCTGTGATGGGTAGCAAACAGCTTGCCACATTGCATTTCTTATATACTTAATTTTAGGAGGTTAGGACTTTATTATTTTTAATTTATTTTCTAAGGCTAGATTTTTTTTTTTTCCTTTTTGTTAAGTCAGAGAACACTAAGTTAGTGCTGATTGACTTCATTTTCCAAAATGTGTAAAGTCTGTAAGAATATGCATCAAAATTAAGTGATTAAAGGCCTGGAGAGATGGCTCAGAGGTTAAGAGCACTGTCTGCTCTTTCAGAGGTCCTGAGTTCAATTCCTGGCAACCACATGGTAGCTCACAACCATCTATAGTGAGATCTGGTGCCCTGTTCTGACATGCAGGCACACATGCAGATAGAGTGCTCATATGTATAAATAAAAATTAAGTGATTAGTAAGTCATGGTGACATCAGGATGGTTGTCATTTTCTTTGTTAATAATTATGGATTATTAATTTTGTGGGTTTTTTTCTTCTATGGATTACTTTTATAATCACAGAAATCAAAGTATTTTCAATTTTTATATTAAGCTTGATTTTTTTTTTTTTAAGGGTACAGGTTTGATATTTTTGCTCTGTTTTGACCGAAGACCACTTTTCTTCGTTATGTTGGGATGAAAATGTCATGAACTCTTTACCACCTTGGATTTCTATCGTGTTGGAAGGTGCACTGTTGTCCTTACAGGGGCACCTCATTTGTTCTCGTTATCTTGTGAGAGAGAGAGTCTGAGTTCTACTTTATAGTCTAGCATAAAGCAAGTGTGACTGAGTTTAACTCCGGCTTTCAGACCCTATGGCTGTATGTGACGGTCTTGAGCTGAGCAAGTCCTGGGAACCGGGGTTGTCGTTCAGACAGGGTCCGTTAGCTGCACTTGAGGATGCGGACGTGACTCGCATGCTATGGCGCTGACGTTAGGTGCCTGCTACAGGCCTGATCTGTGTTCTGAGTCATCCAGGGAGCCAGTTAACGCTGGCCTGCTGTTAGCTTTGTTGATCCTCTGCAGATTAAATAGTTTACCTTTTTTTGTAAACACACCTCGATCTAGTTTCTAGTCGCAGCACTAGATATATTAACTCTGGGCCTCACTTTTGTGAGCCTTCCTGCCTGATAAAGTTGTAGAAAATGAAAATTAGGTATTGTGGAAGAAGGTGCTTTGGAAACTAACCATCTCACAATCTTATTATCGCTATTAGCTTTTGCAAAATTGCCTTTTTTATACTTAATGTTAGGAGACTAAGGTGTTTTGTGGTTTTTTTGTTTGTTTGTTTGTTTTTGGCTTTTCGAGACAGGGTCTCTCTGTAGCTCTGGCTGTCCTGGACTCCCTTGTAGACCAGGCTGGGCTCAAACTCAGAGATCCACCTGCCTCTGCCTTTCTGAGTGCTGGGATTACAGGCGTGTGTAACCGCACCCGGGTGGGTTTGCTATTTTTTATTTCTTCTCAAAAGCTTTGTTTTGAGAGAGGGTCTCACTGTGTAGCCCTGCCATGCCTGGAATTTGCCATGTAGATCAGGCTGGCCTCAAGCTGACAGAGGGAGAGAGAGAGAGAGAGAGAGAGAGAGAGAGAGAGAGAGAGAATATACAGAAGACAGTATCTTCACCTAGGGTCCTCTACAAGAGCATTCTTAACTGCTAAACTGGCTCCTCAGCCCCTGCCCCCTGTAGACAGTGACAATTGCCTCGTGCAGATAGGCGGGAGTGACAGGACGACGTTGACCGGAGCTGGCTTCCCCTGTGCTCAGGAGGCGGAGCCTTGCTGCTCTTGTGCTTTGGGTTTTTCTCATGTTTGTGCTGTTGTTTTAAGTGTGTATTTCTTGGCCGAGTATGGTGGTGAGCATCTGTAGCCTCGGTGCTTAGGAGGTGAAGGAAGGAGGACCAGAAGTTTAAGTTCAAGGCCAGCCTTAGCTGCTTCAGCAAGTTTGCAGACAACCTGGGCAATATGAGACCTCGTCATGAAAAACCAACACATATACAACAAGAAGAAAAATAAATAGAATTCTTTCTCAATCACTCTTCCAGAAGGTTGAAATAAGGCTTAGCAGAATCATCCATTTGGGGCGTGGGGTAGGTTCTATGTTGCCAAGAGTAGTTTTGAACTTTTTTGTTTGTTTGTTTTTTAAGCCGGGTCTCACTGTACAGCTCTGGCTGTCCTAGAACTCACTATGTGGCCAGGCTGACCTTGAACTCACAGAACTGTCTCTGTCTCCGTCTCCAGGTTTTAGAATTAAAGGTAGTATATGTCACCATGCCCAGAAAGGCATGAGCCCCCTCTCCTCCCCGCAACTATCTATCTAGCATCTATCTGTTTACCTGGCTCCCTACCTACCTACCTACCTACCTGACATTCTGTCTGCATGTGTGCCTGAGCACCAGATCCTGTTGATTATAGATAATAATAACCACCATGTGGGTGCTGGAAATTGAACTCAGGGCCTTTGGAAAACCAGTGTTCTTAACTTGAGCCATCTCTCCAGCCCCAAGTCTTGAACTTTTGAGCTCAAGCGGTGCTCCTGCCTCAGCCTCCCAAGTAGCAGACTGTAGCTGTGCACGCAGCCTCTAATCCAGCACTTGGGAGGCAGGAGCAAAGCAGCTGGGTCTCCCAGTTTGAGGACAGCCTGGTCTGTATAGTGAGTTCCAAGCCAGCAAAGGTACGTGGTGGGGAGGGGAGGGCAGTTCTCTGCTGCAGCTGGCTGGATAGGACTTCTGGATTCTGGAGGCTGTGCAGTGGAGGGAGAGCCATCTGAAAAGATAGAGTAGCAGTCTCCTGTGGAAGGAATTGCAGAATCCTCTCTGCACAGCCTACCCAGTATG